ATACAGACCCTCCAAAGAGTGTCCCACCTAGACCCATCCCCTTACCCTATCCCTCTAACCCTGCATATTCCCCTGGCTAACCCACCTAGCCTACACATCCCTGGACACTATGGGCAATTTAGCATGGCCGACCCACCTAACTTGCACAATCTTTGGACTGTGGGAGGGAACCAGAGTACCCGGGAGAATGTGCAAACTCCACACAGACAGAGTCACCTGAGGGTGGAATTGAACCCAGGTCCCTGGCACTGTGAGGCAGCAGTGCTAACCACTGTGCCACCATTCACAAAACCTCCGATCTACTTCTTTTTGACAACAAACCATCTAATTCTGTAATTGGGAACTGCCTACACTTCAATGTTTCCACAACCGCTTTCTCTTTTCTCTGGTCCAAACCTAACACCAGAATAAAACCTACTGATAAAAGGTGGGACTGGTGTTGTTTGGTGAAGCAACCTTGGAGGAAGCTTAACACCTCGTCTCTGATCTCCTGCTACCTGCCCCTGAACCATGACCCTACAGCCAAACATCAAGACATAACTTTCCAAGACCGTCACTGAACCCATTCCCCATCCTTCAGATGGTTTCCACAATCTGGCTCTGCACAGTGTGACTTTGCCTCCATCCCAGAGTCTACAAATAGGACCATCTTGGTAGGTCCAGTGCTTCAGCGTATTCCCACCCCCACTGTACAGAATTCTTCCAATCCTCGACAGTAATTTTTTCTCCGTGTTCATCCTCTTCTAACCTACAACCTCGGACCTTCTAGTGCCCTCGAACACTTGAGCAGTTTCCACTTTTCTCGTCCTAACCATCTCCTTCCACCAAGGATGGCTAATCCGCTAAACACCTTCATACCACGGGCACCCATCAAAACAACCTGCCAGTGCTCCATCCAGCAGCAGCCTCCCCCTCCCACCATCTGACACTGAACCACTTCCTCCAAATTATGCCCACATGGACCAAGCTATTCCTCCATTTTGGTGTCACACTCCTTATTCGTTTCCCACCTAGCCCCGTGTTGTCACTTCCTCCAGTATATCCAGGAGTGTAATAGTGCCATTTCCTGCTCTAGCCCTGAACTGGGCTTCAATTCCCACCATTTTCTCACCTTTCATCTCAGACTCTTACCTTCCTTGACTTAGCCGCCTCTACTTCTGGATATAGAATATGGTTTTCCCACCTTTTTTAATTATTAATTGATGGGATGTGGGCGTCGCTGGCTAGGCCAGCATTTATTGCCCATCACTAATTGGCCAGAGGACAGTTAAGAGTCAACCACATTACTGTGTGTCTGGAGTCACATGTAGGATTTCCCTGGAAGGATGGCAGTTTCTCTCCCTAAAAAGGATATTAGTGAGCTATTAGTGATTTCTGAAGAAGGGTCCAGACCCGAAACATCAGCTTTCCTGCTCCTCTGATGCTGCTTGGCCTGCTGTGTTCATCCAGCTCTACACCTTGCTATATTAGTGAACCAGATGGGTTTTTCTGACAATTGCCAATAGTTTCATGGTCATCATGAAATTCTTAACACCAGATTTTTAAATGAATTTAAAATTCCACCATCTGCCATGGCAGGATTCGAATCCAGGCCCCCAGAACATTACCCAGTCTCAGGATTAATAGTCTAATGATACCATTAGATCATCTCTTTCCCCGAGATCTATTCTGACCACATTTCCTCACATTCCATTTCCAGTAATGATCGCATTACATTCTCCCAGTATCACTGTATCATGTGTTCTGATCATACACCCCTTCCATGATATCTTCTTTCTTCCTCAACCTGAGGTTCATTAACTGGGCCCTCCACAAACCTCGCAAACCCATCTCCTACAATCTCTCTCCCTTCCAGAACCACAGTAAAGGTTCCCTTCTCATAGCATTCCACAAACCTCCCATTACCAACTTTCAGCATTTAATGCATCACCTTCATCGCTCCCCCCCGACCAAAACAAAGCAGGAAGCCACATTCCTCCCTTTCAGCATTCCAAAGCAACCATTCCTTCCAAGTTCACTGGGAGTACAATGTATAGTTTATTAGAAACATAAATTGGATGATTTAACTTTGGGTTACTGTATTGCAAAGAATGAACTGATTAGCTTTCTACAACACAAGGTCAAAATTGAAACTGTGCGGTGATCACTCATTGGTTACAAGGTGTCTTTGGGTTAAAATCTGCCTAGTAACATGTTCAGGAGTGTCAAAACTGCTGCTTAAAACCACAGAGTGGAGGGAAGAAAGGAGAGAGACCCAGAGCTCTAAAGCTTGCAAGCAAGGCAGATCTCTCTCCAATCTTTTGAGTTGAAGAACACCGGCACTAAAGACTTCAAAGGAACTACTTATAACTCAGGCTAAAGACCAAGGTCTAACTGACCATCCATTGAATGGAGAACCACCACAGTTGAGAACAATGTGATATCAATGCCAAGAACCAAAAGAAACAGCTGAATGATAGTCACCTGATTCTCACTGTGTTGTTTGGGCTCTTAATCCAACAGACTGTGCTCTTTCCTGGTATTATCTGCATCCATATATTTCTGCAAAGCTGTTTGTCTTGTATGGCTGGACTGTCTTATTTGTGACTACACGCAAGTGTGTTTGGATTTAAAGGCGGTATTGTTTAAGTTTGCACATTAGGAATTAATCATTTTGTTTGCCAGATGTTAGAGGATAAGTTTGTTTACAATAGATTTTTTTTTTGTTTATCGGTGAGAGTTCGTTTTATCTTAGAGAGACAGAGTCAGTCAGACATTAGTCATCCTAGAGAGTAAATTAGTCACTTTCATATTTGTGGACTCACAGTTTGATGTCCAGAGCACCTACTCCACCAGGATCATGACAGCTTACCCCGACACCCTAACCCTTCCCAGAGACACACACAAAATACATCATTTGCTCATTGACCTACTCATCACTGAGGACTCCAAACACAGATCATGTGAAACAGCAATTCACCTTGACTACTATCTTCAGTAAATTGCATTTGTTTCTCACAACGTGGGCTCCTCTACAGTGGGGAGAGCAAATGCACATCCCATCCACACCTCCACTTTACACATCCCCATTGCTATTTTCATTTGCTTCACACCATTATCCCTCTCGACAGTTAATCCTTCCAACCGTCTACACCATTGCCATACCTTCCCTTTTGTTCTACCCCCCTCCCTACTTACACTGCCTCACGTCTTGCTTAAAATCCATTACATCTCACCCATTCCAATGAAAGCTCATTGGCTAGAAGGGTTAACTCCGTTTCGCTACCAGATCTGCTGAATGTTTCCAGCATCTTCCGTTTATGAATTTGTTTTGTGACAGTTGTGAAAGTCGCAGGAGAGAAATCTTCGAAATAGGTCCATGGGATTTCTGGCATCGATCTGAGAGGGTAGGCAGGTTCTCAGTTGAAGTTGGTTTAAAGGAAGTATACTGTGCCTTTAAGTGATATGTACTGTGCTGTGTCTCTTGCAGAGGGGTGTTGCCAATAAGGTGCTGAGATGTCTCCTTCAGACAGGTAGTTGGTAAACAACTATTGAGTGCTTCCTGGATTTTTTTTTTTGAAAAGTTGGACAAAAGCATGAGTGGTCAGGGTCAGAGCTCACATAGACCCAGGAAGATTTTTAAGTTTTGCCTTCAGTAAGTGAGAAGTTTTCTATTGGCTGCTGAGCTAAACATTTGAGCTCTCTACTGCTAGAGTGAAGTCTTAGGTAGCGAGGCTTCCTTGTACAAATCCAAAGGGGCAGATTGTTTCTTTGTTCTGGACTGGAGAGAGGCAGCATATGAGAATCATAACCGTGTAATTGTTTTTGTTGAATTGCTTTTTTGCCAAAGGGTGTGTTTATGGGGTGTGGCCCTAAAGAGGAAGATATGATGATTAGTGGTTAATAATGCATTATCATCTTGTTAAGTATTTCAATGGAGTAAAGTTATGCCAATTATTCTTACAGTGGTTAAAATACAACAAAAAGAAGAAAGTGTAATTTGATTATGGCTTAGTGGTGGACCAATCAAATCATATCTGAAACAAAAAATATAAAAGCTAGGATCTAGGCTATCTCTATAATAATACACTGGGTTGGGGGTGGGATGTGGTCTAGTCCATAACAAACACCACTTCCAACCTCAGTGCTGCACTAACATGGTAACCTGGGATACACTCACACCTCTGTAGCAGGACTTGAACCTTCGGCCTTCTGATTCAGAAGTAAGAGGATTGCTTTGTTTTATTTCCTATTTGTTCACGGGATGTGGACGTCATTAGCCAGGCCAGTATTAATTGCCCATCCCCAATTACCCTGGGAGAAGGTGGTGGTGAACTACCGCATTCATTGGGGTACAAGAAGTGCTGTGAGGGAGGGAGTTCCACGACTTTGATGTTGCATGTTCTTACACCTCTACTGCCATGGAACTGGTCACCTCTACCTGATCGAGCTCTACAGCAGAGTCTTCCTCACACTTTGGCCATGATGCTTATTGTTCCTGGGTCAAAAGACAGGCAATATACCTGACCTTGCCAGGAGCACCCACATCAGACATGGTGCCCTGTAACTTCAGGAGAGTCTTTATTCTGAACAAAAACAGAAGTTGCTGGAAAAGTTCAACAGGACTGGCAGCATCTGTGAAGAAAAACAAAAAATCAGAGTTAACATTTCAGCACTTAGGAAGGGTCACCGGACCCAAAACATTAACTGATTTTTTTTCCTTCACAGATGCTGCCAGACCTGCTGAGCTTTTCCAGCAATTTCTGTTTTTGTTCCTGATTTACAGCGTCCGCAGTTCTTTTGGTTTTTCTTTATTCCGAACATCTTGTATGATTCATTAAGACTGCAACATCTTCCAATTGGAGACTTCCAGCAATGAATTAGATAAAGGCGCATAGAATGAGAAAGTCTTCTATTCACATGTTAAAAGCCTGGTATATAACGGGAGGGAGATGTAAAGTTCTCGCATGTGGCAAGATGCTGACATGTGAACAAGAGACTGATTGCCCCAACGAACATACCTCGGAATTTCTTTGGCGGATTGGCCAGATCTCCAGCTTCTGGCTGAACCACACATCTGTCGTCCACTAATCTGGAAGAGAAAAGCAGTTCCATTTGCTCAGCCTCCACAGCCAGAGTTCATTCTTAACTTGACAGTAGGCTGTAAAGAAAAACTCACGAGAGCTGGGCTCCGATGACATTTACTCCCAGCCGACAAAGGTGTATTTAAATACAGCTTTAAAATATTAAATGCATTCATGATCAAGAAGTCGTATGGAGTGATACTGGATTACAGTGCAATATTTATCACGCAGCCTTCCAAACGATTGTTAGAGCAACAGATTACTTGTGACAGGAACATAACCATTTATACAGGTTCATAAAATCAAGAGAGGCATTGAAGAAGTAAATAGCAAAGGTCTTTTCCCCAGGTTAGGGGAGTTCAAAACTAGAAGGCATAAGTTTAAAGGTGAGAGGGGAAAGGTTTAAAACAGACCTGAGGGGCAACTTTTTCACAGAGGGTGGTATGTGTATGGAATGAGCTCCCAGAGGAGATGGTGGAGGCTGGTACAATTACAACATTTAAAGGCATGGATGGGTGTATGAATAGAAAGGGTTTAGAGGGATATGGGCCAAATGCTGGCAAATGGGACTAGTTCAGTTTGGAAACCTGAAGGGTGGCACAGTGGCTCAGTGGCTAGCACTGCTGCCTCACAATGCCAGGGACCCAGGTTCGATTCCACCCTCAGGCAACTGTCTGTGTTGAGTTTGCACATTCTCCCCATGTCTGCATGGGTTTCCTCCCACAGTCCAAACTTGTGCAGGTGAGGTGGATTGGCCATGCTCAATTGCCCCATAGTATGCAGGCCAGGTGGATTAGCCATAGGAAATGCAGGATTACAGGGATAGGGTAGGATACTCTTCGGGAGGGTCAGCGTGAACTTGATGGGCCAAATGGCCTGCATCCATATAGTAGGGATTCTTTAAGGGTCTGTTTGCATGCTGTATGACTGACTATCTCAGTCCTGCCATGTGGATCATACCTAAACACACATTATATTAAAACTTCAACCTCAGGGCAACAGTTTACAATCTAGACAAAAAAAAAGAAACTTATTAAAAAAATTGGTGTTTCTTTTTGGACAGGAATCATTGAATCCTGAATCTACACAGCCCTTCATGGGGAAATTCTTTTCCCCCAAATTCCTGATTCCTCTCATTTCTGCCTGCCGCTCGTCCTGCCAGGGTATGTCACTCTCGTCTGTCTTGCACCATCCTCACACATCCACTGTCTGCATTCACTCGGAGGTCTGTCAAGCAACTGCACCCAGATCGATCCCCATCCCCCTCTTCCTGCTGCCTCCACGATGCCCTTTGGAAAAAATCTCTGTCACTTTCTCAGCTCTGTTCAAACAGTCAAAACATTGATATTTCTGTTCTTGAGTCGCTTTTTGGGAATTTGTTTTATTCTCGCAATTTCAAGCACTTCTTCATTGGTCTGGTGGTCTATGGAATTTTTAGCAAATGTCTGAGCATTCACATTTCAACAGCTTCTATTTTCTTCACAGATCGGACTGGAGGCCTGTGATCAGTGATGTTCCACAGGGATCCGTTCTGGGTCCTCTTTTGTTTGTAGTTTATATAAATGATTTGGATGAGAATATAGAAGGCGTGGTTAGTAAGTTTTTGGACGACATAAAAATTAGTGGCATAGTTACAGTGAAGAAGGTTTTCTAAGATTATAAAGAAATCTTGATCAAATGGGTCAACGGACTGAAAAATGGTAGATGGAGTTCAATCTCAATAAATGCGAGGTATTGTATTTTGGTATAACAAACAGGGGTAAGGCTTATACAATTAATGGTAGAGCCTTGGGTCATGTTGTAAAACAGAGGGACTCAGGGATGCTGGTACATAATTCTTTGAAGTTTGCGTCACATATAGACAGGGCAGTTAAAAAGGCATTTGGCACGCTTCTCTTCATTGCTCGGTTCTTTAAGTATAGGAGTTGGGAAGTCATGTTGAGGTTGTACAGGACATTGGTGAGGCCTCTTCTGGAATACTGTGTGCAGTTCTGGTCGCCCTGGTATAGGAAAGATATTATCAAGCTGGAGAGAGTTCAGAAGATATTTACCAGGATGTTGCCAGGTATGGAAGATTTGAGTTATAAAGAAAGGCTGGATAGGCTGGGACTTTTTCATTGGAGTGTAGGAAGTTGAGGAACGACCTGATAGAAGTTATAAAATAATGAGGGGTACAGATAAGGTTAATGGTAGTTGTCTTTATCCTAGGATGGAGGATTTCAAGCCTAGGAGGCACATGTTTAAGGGGAGAGGAGAGAGATCTTTTAAAAAAAACATGAAAGGCAGATTTTTTTTTAAAACTTCCTGAAGAACTGGTGGATGCTTGTACAATGACAATGTTTGAAGGACATTTGGATGGATACATGAATAGGAAAGGTTTGGAGGGATATGGACCAGGAGCAGGCAGGTGGGACTAGTTTAGTTTGGGATTATGCTCGGCATGGACTGGTTGGTCCAAAGGGTCTGTTTCCGTGCTGTAGGACTCTATGAGACCTCTGACTAACCTGCCCAGCAATAGACCCATATGACCTGGTTATCATGGGGACATGGTACTGGTCAGCCTCAAATGAAAGCAGAATGCCATTTCTTAACACCTGGAGACAAAGTGACTCAGAGACCTTAGTGAGTCCCAGATTAGAGAGAGGCGGGCAGGGCGAGACACACACATAGAGACACAGAGAAAAAGGTAAAGTTGCTATGGTCCTACCACACCATAGGTTGCTCTCTCATTAGAGAGAGAGGCGACTGGTGGTGGTTTAACCGGAGGGTCACCACACCCCAGGCAAGGGGAGAGGTCGAGAAGAACGGTCTTTCATGGTAACCTCAGCCGGTGTGGGGAATTGAACCCATGTTTATGGTATCACTCTGCATCACAAACCAGCCAACCAAGCTAACCAACCTGGCCAAGTAATTGTTACAATAAAAGTCTTAGAATTTGACCTTGTGCCGTGCACCGATCACTAGAAAACTGATTTTTTTTTTTTGAAAGAACTTCATACTTCAGTACTTGAAACTTCTCAAGCGAGTTACTATGTTGCTTCTGTGTGCGCGTCTGGAATTCAAACCAGGTTTATCCAGTCACTAACCATTGCTACTATCCTGGCTATTCCATCAGGATTTACTGTCCGGCATTGCCCCTGCTGGATTCGGGCATTTCAGGCAAACACAATTTGGCCATTCAGCCAGTAAGGCCTGCTACCCCATTCACGGCTGATCCTCATCCTACCAGCATCTACCTTGATATCCAGGCTCGTGAAATTCCCTCAGTCTCAGGAGTTCAAGTCGACAATAATAATATAATGCCATATGATTTATCCATGCTTTTCTAAACTATGGCTCATGGAGTTTAATGAAGATGACAGCCAGGGGGTAAGTGACTAACTAGTGATCCAGTGACACAGGTTAATAGCAAAGGTTTAAATCCCACCATGATAACTGGGCAAATTTAAATTCAATGGAATAATAAAATTTCAGATCTGAAAGCTAATCTGTGATAATCACCATCAATTGTCATTAAAAACCCATCTAATTCATTAAAATTTAACAAGAAGCTAAATTTGCCATCCTTCCTGGGTCTGGCCCTACATGTAACTCCAGACCCACAGCAACATGGTTGACTCTGTCCTCTGTAAAATCACCTCAAGGCCAACTATCATAACGACCTGCCGGGTTCACTAATGTCCTTTACGGAGGGAAACCTGCCATCCCTTTACCTTGTCTGGCCTTATATGTGACTCCAGGCCCACAGCAATTCTGGACTCTTGACTGCCCCGTGTAATGGTCAAGAAGCCATTCAATTCAAGGATAAAGAGGGACAGGCCACAAATGCTGGCCCAGCCACTTTCCAACAACAAATAAAACCAGCACCACATTTAGCATGTGAAGTCCCACAGAGAGAGTTCCAGTGCACACCGAGATGATCCTTGCAGAACTTTCAAAGACTGATTTAAAAACAAATCTAAGCTTAGTTTCCAATAATTGTCACTCTTTTATTCTTCACTGGTATCTCACACTTTGGCTCCATGCTTCGATTGGACTGAAAGAATGAGTTGGATATGTCTTCAATTTCAGAAACTCTCCGCTTGATTCATATTAACGGGATATTTCAATTTCGTTAGAAAACAGAATGAGCTGAGTCAACTCAGAGCTTGGAGGGTCTCGGGCCTTCACTTTATCCAGTGTCCTGAATGAGTTTTACATTGGAGAGGAATTTCTGATTGTGTACAATGTTCATTGTGAATTCAATGTGAAACTCATTACACTGCCACGCAGTACTCACATCTGAAAGTCAACTTAACTCTGTCAGAACACCATCTGCCTAATCATTTCCATCCAACCAACTCCCATAGACAACGAGAACTGCTCCATCATAAAACACATTGTCAAATGTGATGTGGCTTTTAAAATAATGAATATAAAATGCATCTTAAAAACCATACTGGTCTAAAAATGCAGCAAGGGGATTTGCACTTGTCTATCAGAATCAATTTGGACTACATTCAAGAGACATTCCCCCCCACCGTCCCCCAGCCAGACTCACCCACCCCACCTCACACCTCACACCTCCCCCCTACCCTCCTCAGTAACTCACCCCAACCCCCAGCTTCAAATGCCCCAGGGCTTTTGCCTGCTTTCAAACCTCTCCCAGCACAGGCGAGGGATGCACCTATCGAGATGTTTAAAGGTCATAGGTACATGACACAAAACTTGGGAAAATTGCAAACTGTGAGGAAGACAGAGTGCGGAACTCCAAAAGAACAAAGACAAGTTGGCAGAGTGGGTGGATAGGTGGCAGACAAAGTTCAAAGGAAAGAAGTGTGAGATGACATATTTCTGTAGGAAGGACGTGGAAATACAATATAAAACCTGG